GTACACTAAAATAAGTATTTAGAAATGTCACCCGCTGCTTTGCAAATCTATTATTGAAACTATAGTCTCCAACAAAATATCATAGTTATTGTTATATTGTCTAATAATTATATATATATATACACACACACATAGGAAACTATTACACAATGTTTCTTTTTCTTTAGAGTTTACTATCATTCTGTCCTAAAATTTTAGCTTTACACCATTGCATGACTACAGCTACTTTTAACTTAACGTTCAGTTTTATTTTACATTTCTAAAATAATGTGGCCTGGGGACTTAAGAATGTGCTGCTAATAAACTGCAAACTTTATAAGCGTTTTACCATTGAAGGACGAACATTTTATATATTTACCATGATATATATAAATTAATATACTGTATGCTATATAAAAACGATGAATCACATGAATTACTGATATGTTATACATTATATATATTTTTTTTCAATGCAGCGTAAATGTCTTCAAAAGCCATTGGATCCTGCAAGTTGTAAATAAAGTTTGTGGCAGGCAACTAAAAGCAAAACTGAAGAAAATATTAATAAAGTACCATGTAACATGATATACATAACTGCACTGTTGTTGATATGAACAATGTAAAATGTTTATGTTTAACACATCCCGTCCGTCCAGAGTCTCTCACTTACACACACACACACACACACATTACGATGAGACTGTCAGATATCACACACACAATAACACACAGTCTTAGCAAACCAACATCTAATTAACCACGAGCGCACCAAACAAGGCAACAGAGCCTCAGTAAAATATATAAACACTCTATATTTGGATTCCGGGTCAGTTAATAATAGATGTCCCGTCTGAGTGTGAGTGTGTGGCCGCGTCTCAAAAGCCATCGTGCTGCCTACCAAGACAACATTATTGAGGAATCACCGCCACAGACACGTTCCGCACGTACAGTTCCATCGTTCGACTCACACGTGTCACCAGGTCGATTAGAACGCGCGATTCGAACGTTCAAACCCCGGTTCCGAACTCTAAAACGTGATGTCTAGGAAGGCAGCCCGCTAGGTTTTGAAACACAGCCACTGAGTCCGTTCAGAAAGAACAACAACAACTGCGTGTGTTCCGCCACATCAACGCGAATACTCACAATCAGCCGAAGCGTGCAGCGATATTTAATATACGATTACATGACGTTGATGCGAATTATCGATCACTTCTATATAAAAGAGAAAGATAATAAAACGCGTATGCCATTGCCTTCTGCGATGTTCGCTGCTCTCATGGCCTTGAGTTCCAGCCGCCCCCGGACACACACATTCACATCATCCTGCAACATTTACAAAACTATCTTTCCTGAATCTCACTCATATACACTCTGACTCAGCACTGATGCGTCTGTCCGTGTGTGTGTGAGATGATCAACGCGGATGTGAAGTGAATATCGCAGTTACACGCGAACATCTTTAGCTGCTAGTCAGAGTAGCGCAGCTGCGATCAGGCCTTTTCATCATCACATTACTCGTGCTAACACGCGCCGCGATACCTCGCGTTCCGACGCGCGTGTTACACGAGCTGACAGCCGCGTGTCGATGGCGGGATCGACGGAGGAGAGAGCCGAGGAGGGCGAACGGCGCGCGGCAGGAAGGTGTTGGAGGAAGTCTGCACTTACCTAGCTTTACTTTCTACGCCATCTTGGATCCACTTGTCAGCTGTCGCAGTGCATTATGGGTCAAATATTTCTGCGCACCGCTTCCTGCCAGCACTCGCTCAGAACCAACACACACTCACACACACACTCACACACTCACTGCAGGAGCTTCGTGCTGTAGACCAGATTCACTTCTTAACTGCTATTTTCTAACTTAAGATACACACTTTTCCTTAAGAATGTTCTTATCTTTTCTTTTTAAGGTCGTTCTTAAGACAAAATTTGGTTACACTTTATTCGGTAACTTTATTTTACAGAGTCCTTGTTACATATATGTTACATGTAGTTACCATAGTAATAACAGTAAATTGTGCATAATTACATGATTATGCATAATTTACTGTTATTACTATGGTAAGTACATGCATGCAACTAACCCTCAACCAAACCCTAACCGTAACTCTATATAGTAAGTCTACATGTAGTTGCTTAATATCACAGTCACAGTACTTAAATATATTACACTGTAACAATGACACCTTAAACTAAAGTGTAACCCTTTATTTTAAGGTGTAGTAGTTACATTGTTACTCAAATAAGTACTGAGTAATATTAATTAACATGTACTTACTATAGAGTTACTGTTAAGGTTTAGTTTAGTTACTTGTAATTATACATAATTTACATTATCTATCTATCTATCTATCTATCTATCATATGTTTGTCTATCTATCTATCTATCTATCTATCATCTGTTTGTCTATCTATCTGTTTATCTATCTATCTATCTATCTATCTATCATCTGTTTGTCTATCTATCTATCCATCCGTCCGTCCGTCTTTCTATCAAGTGAGATAAATAAAATAATTGCCATACATCTATGATTTATGTTTATTTACAGTTTTTTTATTCGCTTTGGTACTATTTTCACAAGCAAGGCGTATATTTTCAAAACTCACAAACATCAAACATTTCAGCACGTTTTCAACTGTGTTAGTACAATACACAAAATCACAAAGTATGTGTTTCACAACACAAAATAACGGTTTCATCTATACAATCATTTCATTCACAATAACTGCCTTCCATAAAGCTCTTACTTTCAAAATTTTGATTAGCATCTCTTCACGTTCAGTTTAATGCATTTGTCTATTATTTAATCCATTAATTAATCATTTTGTTCATCTGTAGATTTAGATATTGATTCTATAGACAGTTTCTATAGAACTTTTTTTTGTGCAATTTCCAATATGTATAACCAAATCATGTAATGAATTTGTTTCACATAGGCTAAGTGATTTATAGATTATAACCACCACTATATGTCCAAAGTGTGTGCACACGCGTGCATGTGTGTGTGTGTGACAGAGAAATGTGCCATTTGTGAAGAGAGCATGCAGGATAGAGTGAGAGGAATAATGACTGCATACTGTTTCAGATTGATCAGAGATTCATCAGTAGAAGGGAGAAAGATGTCATCAAATACACCATTTTACATAACAGTGTGTATGGCATGTGATACTCTAAACAGATTACCATGGTAGAGACTGACTGTAACTACTGTAATCAGATGTTCTTCCCTTATAAAGAAGAACTACAGTATTAGTTTCAGTCATATGTGAGAACATTTACTGTGTTGCCAGCAAACTAGCACAAAACCTCATGACAGTTTCATATAACTTCATCAGACCTTTTGATGACACTCTAGACATATAACATTATGGATTCAATTTGTACGTGTATTTTCTAATGTGGCAACTGTAGCCTGTTACTGTAATTATTTCAGGAACAAGGCTGATTTGAAACATGTATCTTGCATTGTTTGCTGTTGAATGAACTGATTGTTAAAAGTACTAAACCGAAATAAGATCACACTGTTGTGTTTCGGTGATTAAACCAAATGTTCTCATTACATATTACAATAATCCTGTGTTTAAAACAATTATTGTGTGTGGACTGAAATGTGAAAGTATGAGGTCAGGGTAAGTAGGGTTGAAAGTAGCCTATGACTATCTGTGTTACGAGTAGGGTTGCCACCTGTCCCGGTTTTACCGGGATTGTCCTTCTTTTTAATAACCTGTCCCGGGAAATTTACGCACTCTCCCGGGACACTGAATGTCCCGGTTTTCGAAAGGCTACGTGAATATGTATGTTCAAACTGTGTAGCGCGCGCAACGGCAGAGAGCGAGAGACCTTGCGTGTGTGTGCTAGTGTGAGTCGAGTCTGCCTCAAGAAGCGCATAAGAAGCGCATGTAATCTGAGTGTGGAGCGCGCTTGCTGCACGAGGCGCGGGCGCGAGCACTTCCGTTTTTCTATCAACAGTGGAAACAACTTAAAATAGGCCTACTACTCTATCATTTCTGGTCATAGAAAATAAACATCATTCGCAACAATACATCATTCGCAACTACTTTTATTTGTGTAAACTCACAATAACAAGAAAACGTTGTGCTTTTGTAAAATAAAATAAAACAATCAGTCGCGCTCTTTTATGGTCTCCGTGAACTGGATCGCGTCTCAAAATAAACAAGCCCATAGGCTAAAGCTTGAAATGTCCACTTTTAAACGAACAAATTCGAATCAAAAGAAAATACAGTCTGATTATGTAATCCATATGAATTTCTTCTCTAAAGGCGCATCTGCTTTACAGCGGAGATGGAGATATGTTGCAGCCGATTTAGAAAATACTAGTTTATTAATAAACAATTAAAATGCCTCGTTACTTTTTCAGAAACATTTATAATAGCCTATAAATCATCTATAGCCTTAGAAATATAGTGTTTGGCCTTAGAAAACCATTTTATCCATATAATTTGTGAATATTTTAAATGCTTATTAAAGGGGCAAAAAAAAAATCATGAACAAAAATCTGAAAATACGCGAATATAGGATATATTTTTGCGCAGCATTTGGTGTATAGGCGGGCCTACAGTTAAAATTTAAATTTTGGTGTTCAACCGTTCATTTTTGGTCTTCAAACACCCCTCTCTCCCCTCCCCCCCCCCCCCCCCCCCCCCCCAGTTGGGCGGGTAATATGTCCCGGTTTTTTATCAGACATAGGTGGCAACCCTAGTTACAAGTGTGATTAGTTTAGATTTTTGTCCTAAGAGTTTTGAAAATGTACATCTTTTCAAGAGTACCAAAGCGAATAAAAAAACACTTTTATTTTGTATTACTAAATACTGATATTCATTTATTTAATATATTTGTCACAGTATCTTGCATTTTACTTCACAAGACATACGTGACAGCTCAGATTTTTTTCAACCATCCACAAACTTATATGCAAGCAAGCAAACAAACTCTTTTTCGCTGGGTTTATTGCAGCGGCTGGTGTGTGGTGTTTACAGTCACTAGCGCCGCCTGTCGGTTGAAGGCGTTATTGACCGATGAAAACATTGTGATGCGTTGCGCCACACACACTGCCACATTGAGTGTGTCTTTCTCCTCGCAAACTTACCATCCCGCGTTAGCGCAGCGGAGTAAACCACAGCTGCACAATATCTCTCACCAGATTAGAAGAGGAAAACAATGCAATAACTCCAGGTGCGCCGTGTTTACTTTGACATTTACCCAGATCAACGCTATATCATCTGTGTGGAGCGGGACGGGACAGGTGCACGGGAAGCAGCGGTTCATTAAAGAAGACGAGAGCACACATCCGCTTCATTTTAAAGTTGAAAAACACCATAAACACCGGGACGCGGCGACAATAGTCTTCTCCGCTGGATTTCTGGCGTGTTTCCCCGCGCGTAAAAACGCACGAGCATCTGCAAATTCCAAGAGTGAATTCATTACAACATCACAAGCCGCGGGCGCGCGCGAACGTTCACCGCAAACACAAACGGCAAGAGCGTTTTCTACAGAAGTGCACTGATATTTTCCATCTTTCTATGTGACAACTCGTGATTGCATGCATCACCAGATGGCTCAATTGATTTAGATGATCACTGGCACCCGATCTAGCGTGGGAATCATAAGGAGAGGACGATGTTGGTGAAGGAGTACCGAATATGTATGCCACTAACTGTGGAAGAGGTAAGTGCACTAAGCTTATATTTAGCGATTGATCACTGTTATCGAATGGTGAACTCTTGGGAGTATATGAAAAACAGTTAAAATTCAATATATCCAGTGACTCATTGGTAAATTCACCCCAATGACTTTTATTTTTGGTTAATTTGCCTCAAAATGGCATTGTCGTTTATTTGACGGCAGTTTACACCAGTTTTTCTTGTTTGCAACTTTTCCCTCTCTCCCGGAGATGCAGTGCAGCAATTCATAGTTCTCCTCTTGGTGGCGCTGTGGAACTTTCCATTGCCATCGCTCTTTGGCCGGGATGGGAGTTGTTGTTGCTCATTTAGTGTGGTTTTGACATTGTTTCGATGTACTTTTTAATTGGAAAACAAGATGATTACTTTGATAAACTGTTCATTACAGTCATTTGGATGGGCACGCTTTTTTTTTATAAACAGTCATTTACAATGGACCTCTTTCAGACCAGTATCATTTCTGAAATTGAAAACCCTGCAGCTGATACAGACTGACATGATCTTTTATTTTATAACGTAAATGAACGATTAACTCAATTTGGACTGCATTACATTGTTTTTTTTTGGGATCCACGGCTATCCTAATGCATCATAACCAATAACGACTTGTATTTTTCTACACAATCAATCAATTCGAAATAGGACTTTAGGAATGGCTGAAATAACAAATTAAATCAAACGTGGAGCTTTGTGTTTTTAGTCTGTTAAAATTGAGGTCATATTTATGCTAGTGAACTCCTAAAAGTTGACAAAATTAACAAACTGGCAATAAAAAAGCCATTTGATATGTCTAAACCTCCTGTTTCAGTAGGATATACGTAAATCTAAAGTCCCCATGAAATCAAAATGTATGTTTTTTTTGGCTTTGAGTATGTTAGCCTTATAAGCTAGTTTGCTCCAAAACAATGACAAAGTTCACATTCAGAAGACAAGCGTTAAAAACTTAGTCTATCTCTTCCGCCAATATGGATCAGTGATTTTGATGACATCAGTCTGCACTTCAGCTTCTCATCAAATTTTCTGTCCAATTAAATGCTCTCTCTGAAGCTCCGCCCCCTACACTATAAGTAGATGCTGAAGATGCACTGAAATTGGTCATTTGTTCGCATATGTCTGGTTTCACGTTAGTGTCACACAAACAGCGCAGCGTGAACACAGTCTGGTCCGCTCCAGAGACACGATATCACAGAGCGGATTATATGATCGAGTCGCGCAAACCAGAAAACATATCGGACCCATTTAATACTACACAGAATGCTATATTTTAAAGCGATATGGAGATTAGGAGTAAACTGCGGCTTTACAGAGTTTAACGGCTTTGCCTAGATGTGATGTAAACGGAACGCTATTGGCTATTTTAACAAAAAGGGGAGGAGCTGTTCAATATGTCCCGCCCCATCTTCCTATTTCAGTGGAAATGACGTCAACACACTGCGCATTTAATTAAATAAATCTTCATAAACTAATATCCTGAAATATCCATTTTCCCAGTCATTTCATTTCAGTGGCAAAAAGTGTCACAACTTACCTGGATTTGTTTAGGGGATAGAAAACATCATTAGCTCATTAGAATGAAAAGTCTCCACCGTGAAAAGTTAATGTGAGTGCGTATTAGTTATATTAGGAAAGTGTGCTTCATCATGGGGAAATATTAGAAGCATAATCTCAATGATTGCAATGTGATCTAAGCATTTCATAACTAATATCAAGACAATTTCTGTTCCCGCTGACTATAGCAACCAATATAGCAGCAGATGCTTATGCGCATAAATCTGCATCTCAAACGGACGGTCTGAATGTAACTGGAATTGGATGGAATAGATTTGAGCAGAGAATATCAGATCTATCTGCACTGTAGTGTATGTGGCGTTGTGCTTTTGCAGTCCATCTGCTGACTGACACCACAGATGTGTCTTGTGTTAAGCGGCGTGTTAAACTGCATCGTCATTAATATCGGCGCGAGGTCCTTTTGCATACTGTAAACAGAGTAAGCTAAACCCCAAATTATGTCCCTGAGGGAGAGGTATGAAGTATAATTTTAAAACAATTAGCTTTTTATGATGTGTGTGTGTTTTAATAAGAGGGAAAGCCATCTGCAAGCGTTATGGACGATTGATTTACATGGCAACGGCTGAGACCGCTAGTTAAAATCTGTTTGATCAATTAAAGGTCTTTTGAGGGGTTATTGAGCTGAGAGCGATCACAGGTCGAATGACCGTTACATCATCACATTTTCTTGGCTCTTGGAAACAAGAGCGACTCGTATGTTGAGACCCTCTATGTATGCGTGCAAAGAGCGAACATTTAGAGGTCCACATTCTTGAGCGATAAAAACCTCTAAGTCAGACTTAATTAATTATTGATATATAATCATTTCTGGTGGGATGTGGGAAAAATGACTTGCACGAGTGAAGTGATAAAATGTGAGCGAATTACAGTGTTAAATTTGATCTTCCGAGCTGATATGATTTCTTTTTTTCATGCTTCATGTACTCATATTCTCATATTTCATATACTTTTTTCATATGCAAAGTTTTACGTTTTTAGTTGAAACAGCTAACAGCTCCTTCCTTCGTTCAGTCATGACGTACTGTAAATGTGATTTTCATCTACAATATAATAAATGCTAAAATTTGCCATTTGTAAATTATTTTCATGCTCTCAATTAAAATTGAAAGTCGATTTCTTCAGTTCACAATAATGAAATAAGAAAAAGTGTGAGGAAACTTGAAACCATTTTAATCCCATTGCTAATTAGGAGAAAACGTATAGGATATTAAAGATCTCATGATTTGACTGTCATACAGTGATGGTTGTCGCTCTGAAATATTTATCAAATATAGACTAATAGTGACATTGATTTGTGTTGTGTGTCAGTTATGTTTAATGGTAACTGCATCAATTGTTGAACGAACCTCAACTATGAAATAAAAATGGTAACATCTTAATTAGGTGATAAATTGAGCCGTGACAAGCTGAAGCCCAGGAGCTTTTCAGAGGTGAAGGCAAACACACTTTCTTCGCATTAATTGGACATTTTCAGCTGAAGCTCAAGGCCGTCTTGATAATGGATCGTAATTGTTTCACCAGAGACCCTGAACAGATGAATCTTCACTTATCTAAGGCATAAAAGAAACTTAAAGATTTTACTTTACTTGGGAAATGTTGTCTATGTTGTATCTCTGTTCACGTGGTTTGAAAGCATGTACTCTACTCATGTGTAGATTTTTCGCTCTATAAATGTATATTATTGATCTTATTATGACCTAATCATCCATGCACATGTTTGTTATTTTTCTTTGACGACGTGACTGACTCTTATTTGTCAGATTTTCCTGTGAAAATGACAAGTCTTTCTCGGGTGACGGATGCAGGACTTCTCCAATCATTTTGCCTGCTTAAAGTCCCTCTGTAGTCAATAATTGTATTCCTTAAAACTCATCTTTGATCACCAAAATGACATATTTAAATGTTTAATGCCTTAAAATAGCTTGAATGTAACTCGACACCCTTGCCTCATTTAGTATACGCGGTTCTATGAATATGCAAATGAGCCCCGCCTCCACTCACTCACTCAGCTCAGAGATCCACTGGTTGACGATCACACGTTGACCTGATTGGTTACAAGGTAGTTTGTGACGTCAGAAACACCAGCGATTTCAAACCGTGTTTTTGGTTTGGTTTGGTTTTTGGGGGTGGGGGGGTTGGTGATCGCTTTCGGGTTGAGCTTTCCGCGACTGGGGTATAGGTTGCCAGGTTGAGATGACAAACGGGTTGAAACTGTGTATGGTGTGTGGATTGTAATGCATTTAATACAAGATCTGGCAACAGGTCAACATTAGACAAACATATTATTGGTCCGATTATTCGTAAAGGAGTTTGGGCCAATCAAATTACGGGAGTTTCTCGGGAGAAATAACAAACCTGGAGGGGTCCGGGAGATAGGGCTAAAAAACGGGAGAATCCCGGGAAAAACGGGAGTGTTGACAGGTATGAAATAAAGTCACACAGGTTTGGAACGTTACGACAGAGAGGAAATATGGATTTATTTTGGTAAATCCACTTCAGCAGCATCTTCTTTTATTTGTGCACTTATTCTTGGCCACAAGCTTCTGGCTGTCAGTATCTGAAGCAGCGATGACTGGAGGGTTGTGTCGCTTCCTCCTCCATTACTCAGAGTCCTTATGCAACCATTAGAGAGAAGTGCTCTGAGCTTCATTGCTAGTCACCAGCATGTGTTGTGTTGCAGACCAGCATAGGATACCGGTGTCACCAATAGGCTAAACTCCCGCCAGTGTTTTAAAAAAAAAAGTTGCCAATCATTTCCAATCTTTATTCTGTAATTCTGAGATAAGATCCACAAATATATGTTAGGAGGTTAGCCAAAGTTAATTACATTCACCAATAAATAAAATGAGATCTGCCAATTGACAAAAAATGTCACAAACACAAGTGATTTGTCAATCACTTCCTCTGCGTTTGTGAATCACCGCATGCATTTGTGGATTCTGAAACATTTCTGGTGGTGAGATGCGCCAGAGACAATTTATATAGAGACATGCCACTTCCTCAATACAACTATATAGGGAAAACCCGTAACGCCAAAGATGGCGGTTGTATGCACATGCCCCGCCCCTCCCGCTGGAAAGCCAATCGTCTGCTTTTAACAGTCAAGCCGGGAAACATGTAAGCCTATAGTCTGGTTCCACTGTCGGAGACGAGAACCCTTGCGCATGCGTAGTAAACGTATAACCTGTGGGGAAAAAAGACCTTTTAAACCTTATTTTGGGGCAAAGTCATCAAACTTTTTCAGCGATTTTTTATTTTACTGCTGTTTCTAAACAAGCAGTTTTTATGTCCCGGTGACCAGTGAAAGTGCAGTTCTGACTCTCTGCCCATTCATTTAGATAGGAGCCTGGTCTTGTTAGTCCGAAATAGCTGCCCGGAGGCGTTGCCAAGATGGCGGCCGAGTGGCATGACTTGCCT